CCACCCACCCCAAACATCACTGAGGACTCAGTAAGATGACAGTATTCACTTGAGTAGAAAGTGACCCTCACACACAACGGAGTGGGCCTTGGACTTGGCCTAGTGGTTCTTAGGAACTGTATGATAAACTTCTATTGTTCATAAACCACACAGTTTATAGTGTTTTGTTATAGCTTCCTGAGGGTGCAGGGCTGACACTTGCCCTAGTCCCTCTGTTTGCCCAAAGCCTCTTCCTGTCCTCTTCTTCCTGTCCTCTTCCTATCCCCTTCCTGGCCTCTTCCTGTCCTCTTCCTTCCCTCCAGTGTCTTTCCTCACTGAGGGAGCCATGGGACGCTTGGCCAGGATGTCTTCTTCCATTCCTTGGGACAGTGACTCTTGCTTCCACAGCATTAGAATCACCCAGGAAGCTAATTGGAAGGGGCAGGCATGCCGGTGGAGTAGTCTGGTAGTGAGCGCTGGCATTGGTGTGTGAGCTTGCTCAATGACTTTCTCAGAGAGTGACTGCATGAGCTGGGTCAGAACCACCATGATCTTGACTCACTAAGACATTGAGACCTTGAGCTAGAAACTCAAAAAGGAACTAAATCCTAATCCTGGTTGAAGATCCCTTACCCAAAATGCTCTAATCAGAAGTGGTGGAGATTTGTTTTTAGATTTTTGGATTGTTTTTCTTCTCTCTCTCTCTCTCTCTCTCTCTCTCTCTCTCTCTCTCTCTCTCTCTCTTTCTTCTTTTTGAGACAGTGTTTACCTGTGTAGCCCTGGCTGTCCTGGAACTTGCTCTGTAGCCCAGGCTGGCCTCGAACTCACAGAGATCCGCCTGGCTGTGCTTCCCGAGTGCTGGGATTAAAGGTGTGCACCACCACTGCCAGGCTTAGATTGTGTTTCTTTTGGGGGGGCATTTCTGGGGATTTAACCCACAGCCCTGCATATGTTGGCTGGGCATGCCTACCATGTGTAGTAGCCCCTGTCCTGGAATGTTTGCATATACAAAATGAAATGTGTTGGAGAGGAGACCCCGATTTAATTATAAAACTCAAAATTTATGTTTTATGCAGACCTTATGTATGAGTGCCTGCCTTGCTGTGATCAATCCCCTGGCAAAAATATACCAGGAGTGGTAGTCCACGTCTGTAATCACAACACTGGGGGAGCGGGACAGGAAGATCAGAAGTGTAAGGCACCCCCAAACAGTAATTTGCGGGGCCACCCTGCACTACATGAGACCCTCACTTAAAACAAAAACTGTTTTATCAAAGTATAGTTTGCAATAATAAAACCAAGCAAGGAAAAAAACCGTACCATGAGTTTGAGCAAATGGGCCCAATTGGAGTGTATATTCATTAATAAATAATAAATAAATAAATAAATAAATAAATAAATAAATAAATAAATAAATACCGGTTGTATTAAGTCCATTTCCCATACCATACCAATCACCTATGTAAAATTCGCTGTTTGGTGATAATTAACATCTCATGAGTAGAGTGGCCATCTTCACTACCAACTGTCGGATGTTCTCACACCAGAGAAATCTCAAGATCATTAATAGTCACTCCAAGTTCCTCCCCGAAGCCTCAACGTCCCTGCCTCCTGGGAGTGACCTTTCTCCCTGGACTTCTTGCTCTTAGCATAAGGCTTTTACAGGTTCACCCATTGATTTATCCCGTCTGGTAATTGCCAAATAATCCTCCATTGTGTGGCTGTGTCATAGCTGACTTCTGGACTCAGTGATGGACATTGGGTCCTTTATCTGTAAATATTCATTAACCCTATCACTCACATATAGAATATTTCATCTATCCTGTCTGTATTCTATGTCAATAATTATGTTTCAGGTTCCCGGTATCTCAGTTCCCTACACTGAAGTGGTGGAGACTAAACAATAATGTTCAGAGGGGCAGCAGTCACTGTTTAGGGGAGTGTGAAGTATCGGCGGCGGCGGCAGCATGTCTTCTGGAAGAGCAGGGCTAACTTTTAGTTTATGACACTTGTTACCTACATTGGGGTCAGGACTCAGACAAAATGTTTTGTTAGATTTCAAGTGCTTTATATTAACTGCTTTATTGAGATATTCACATATGATAAAATAGACCCACGTGATATGTCCTAAAAAAAATTTTTTTTCATGAATTCACAACATTATGTTACCTTCGACACAATCTGCTTTTGGTACAGTTATTATTAGTGTGTGTGTGTGTGTGTGTGTGTGTGTGTGTGTGGAGGGTGGTTGGTGCACATGCCATGACACGGATGTGGAAGTCAGGACGATGTTGTGGAATCCCTGGAGTTCATTCTCTCCTTTCACATGGGTTCAGGGTCGTGGAACTCAGGTCAGGAGGCTGGAACAGAAACGGCCTTTACCCACAGCGCCATCTCCCCAGCCCTGCCTTTATGCAGTGTCGGCCCCCAAAGGAACCCTGTACCCTTCAGGTTCCCTGCCCTCAAACTGCTTCCCAAAGTGGCTCTGCCTCTCTGTGTGCACCAGCAGAGGACGAGGGTTCAGTCTTTCACATTCTTGCCCATGTTTTTCAGCTTTCCATGCACCCAAAGTGGCATGCCTGGTAGCTGAGGGGAGTGTGGGGGCCTCTCTTCCCCCTCCTCTCCTTCACTGTCTACTCTTCCTTCCTCCCTTTCTTCCCATTCTTTCTCTTTAGCACAGTCCCCCTGCCTCAGCCTCCTCAGTACCAGGATCCCAGGTATGAGCCACCATGACAGTTTGAGTTACATTTGTAACGTGAATCTTAAAAGGTCTTATTAACAACACAAAGCCGGAGCCAGGTATTTGGGGTGAACGCTGACATATCAGAAAAACAGAACCAGCCACAGCTAATCTCACCTCGCCAATTCCCCAGCTGATCCTTTTTCCTCGAAATGGAAGCCTCTATGTCCTCAGCCAATGGATCTCAGCTGAACTGCTGCTAGAAGCCTAAAAGCTTAACCAGGCTCTAGTTCCTGGTCCTCACGCCTTATATACCTTTCTGCTTCCTGCCATCACTTCCTGGGATGAAAGGCATGTGTCACCATGCCTGGCTGTTTCCAGTTGTGGCTTTGAACTCACAGAGATCCGGATGGATCTCTGCCTCCAGAATGTTAGGGTTAAAGGTATGTGTGCTACCATTTTCTGGCCTCTATATCTAGTGGCTGTTCTGTTCTCTGACCCCAGATAAGTTTATTAGGGTGCACAGTATATTGGGGGACACACTATCACCACATACATTTTTTTTAAATTCACTTCCCAGGCGACTACACTAGACTAAATCAATCTGTAGTCAACCATTTCTCCAAAGCTCTTGAGATCAGTGGGTTAGCACCGGGCTATTTTGATTGTGATAGACGACGTTCAAACAAACAAACGAAAGTACTGTCTTCCACCTCTTTTCTTATTTCAAGTGGAAAAAACTAATCTATGAATCTTTAGAGAGCAATTACAAATGATTTTCAGAAAGAGGCCATTAGAGATGGATGGGCTATGGTGGGGAAGGGCATTGTGAATCGCTCTGTATTTAAAAAAGGAAATCAGCACAGTACATATGAGTGCATTTCAAGAAACTTCCATGTCCGTGCTAAATGTTAATCGAAATGTCAAATGCGCCATTTCTGACAGCTTCTCTCCCAGAAAACAAAACCAAAAAAAATTTCTGCCAGTTGTTAAGTTTAAAACCCGGGACAAACGGCTGAGGTGCCTATTTAAGTATCAAAGCTGGGCCAGACCGCCAGGTTCTCCCAGCATCCCTCAGTCCCTACCTGTTCCAGGCATGACTTGCACACCCCACCCTCTACCCTGAACTCTCCAGCTCAGGGGCTGGGCTGCCCTTCCCCCAGAGGCTCTTTCCTGTCAAATCCAGATAATTTGGTCACCTGCCCCTCCCCTTCTTGGCTGCTGCTCCTGGTTCCCCTCTCTCCACTCTCCCGTCCCCTCCCGCTTCCCACATGACCCAGCTCAATCTGGTCATGTCCACTCTGGACTCTCCCAGATGTCCCTGCCTCTTCTATGCTCTCCCTTATAGCTACAATAAACTTTCTCCTCCACCATACCTAGGAGTGGTCATGTCCTTTACTTTTTATTTCTTTTCTTTTCTTTTCTTTTCTTTTCTTTTCTTTTCTTTTCTTTTCTTTTCTTTTCTTTTCTTTTCTTTTCTTTTCTTTTTATTCACCAGTGTAAAGAATTGAGGGAAGAAATGAGTGTGGAACAAGGTGTAATGTGAAGAAGGCACAGGGAACATGTTCACCAGGAACATGGACTTTCCTCAATGGGGCTTTTCACATTCTGGAGGAAGTGCTTGCAGCTCACTCCTAATAGAGCAAACCCCAGCTCAGTGGCAGAGACTGACCCTCTCCCCATAGCCCAGTTAATTGCTGGGGTAACTAAGTTTATGCTTTCTCCTTCACGGGTGGTCCACAGTTCACACGGTTCATTATAAGTTAAGAAGAAATAGAGTGTCGTGCCCTGAAAGGGGTGTCTCCACCAAATTCCCTCCCTCTGGCTTCAGGGAACGTGTGTGTGTGTGTGTGTGTGTGTGTGTGTGTGTGTGTGTGTGTGTGTGTGTAAGAGGAGGCAGAAAGAAGTGCAAGAGCCTGAGGGCATGGAGGACACCAGGAAAACAAGGCCTCTGAATCAGCAAGACACATCTGAACTCCTAGAGACCGAGGCAGCATGCAGAGGCGCACGCATCTGCACCAGATGGGCTCCTAGAGCTGAAAGGAGAAGTGGACACATGCCCTCACGCCTAACCCAGAAGCTGTCTCCGGCTGATAACCACTCGCAAATAAAATTCTAGTTTTCTTCAAGGGAGTCTCATTGGAGCCACACAGAATGCTTAAGGGCCGGACTCATGTCCAGTAGAAGATGGCCAACCGAAAACCTATTCAGTGGCATCTTTGGAAGTTTTTTGTCTCATAATGAAGGGTCAAGACTTTCTTTTTTTAAATTTTATTTTATCTTATTTTTCATATTTTTATTTTAATATATATATATATGTGTCTCTTTTTTTACCCTGCAGGTCCTTTGCATACATACTATGGCTTCCAGTTTAGTGTTTTTATGGGATTCCTGAGTGTGCAAATCAGTGAGTCTCGAAATCTATACCTCTTTCTTGTGCCTTTTCTTGGGTTCTTTTTCTGTGTGTTTGTTTTGTCCTATTCCGATGTGTTAGTTTTTGTTTTATCTTATTTTATTATTATGCCTTAGATAATAATAGAAGCCTGTTTTCTAATAAGAGACAGAAAGGGGGTAGGGAGGGGAGGGGGGAGGATTGAAGGGAGGGGAAAGCATAATCAGGATATATTCTGTGAGTAACAAACCTATTTTCACTGAAAGGAAAAAAAGAAGAAGAACTAGAGTGTAAGTTAATGTCAATCTACAAATAGCCTACTATACCCTGTTGTTTGACAGAATTACACAAGTTTTAAGTGGCCTCTGAGTATGGGTCAGTCCTTGAGTGATAATTTAGTGAAAAGAGATTTGAAATTCTCAAAGAATTTACTAGGATGTACAATGTGTGCCTTTCCTTGATGCACATTTCCGCACACCGGTACATGAATAAGATTCCTCAATGCTGAAAGTGCTTATGGGTCTTGATGCCCAACAGTACAGTGTCTTCTGGTACCAGTGGGCCTTGGGATTGGGAGAGGGGGATGAAAATCCATTACTTAGATATAACATGAGTGGCTTATTAATGTTAGGAGTTTTTGTGTGTGACGATTACTCTCCTGTGATCGTCAACTCGACTGGATTCAGAATCACCATGGAAACACATCTCTGTGTGGGTCGATGAGGGTGGTTTTAGGAAAGTCTGTCTGAGCAGGGAAGAGACATCCTCAGTGGGAACTGCACCAGCCCATGGCCCAGGGTACGAGACTGAATATAAAGGAGGATGAGCCAAGCATCCGAGCCTGACTGCTCTCACTCCCACGGCCGTGCCTCTCAGTCGTGATGGACTGTGTCCCCTCAGCAAGTCAAAACAAACAAACCTTTTGTCAGGTTGCTTTTGGCCATCTTGTCACAGAGACGAGAAAATGTCACCAGTGCGTTGTTAAAGCATAGAAGGAATCCTTTGTTGGATGTAAGCATAAGGTACACGTCCTCACATGTCAGCAGAGTGAAGCGGGTCTCATCTTGTTTGCCTCTGTGAGCCCTGTGAGTGGCCCCCTCTTCATCCATCCCTCCCCTCTGCTTAGGTTCCCGTTGCTCCTCATGCCCCTGACACCCGTTCATGAATCCCACTGTCTTTAAAGCCAGCCCCATTGATAAGAAGGCATCTGCTCCGGCTCCTGCCTTAACTGCTTTCACTTCCCCTCCGTGTTTGAATACTGAGAGTCCCTCTACCTCAGCAGTCAAGAGAGCAGCTGGGCAGTGAAGGGAAGCACAGGGAATCCTTACACAGCATTGTTCGCTGCCTCAGGCTCCATTGTCAGATGGAATGACACTTGTGTGACCTGGGAGATGATGACACCAGGGATCAGGTGTCAGTCAGCACCATGAAAACTTGTCTATCAAGTCCCAGGGGATAGCTTAAATAGGCACTTCCTTTCTCAAAGAGTTGCTGCCCTGAACACTTCCTGTGAGAAATTATTCTTGCCCTCTGTGTTGAAATATCACCCGGACTTGACCCATGACAAGGTGGGACAAGGGTTGTCACTGAAGAAAGGAATTCTTTAGGTTTATGAGGGACACGGTGTTGACCCTCACCTTCCAGAAAATCCAGATTTCTCCATGGTCTGCCTCTGCCTGTCAGCCTGTACTTTCCCAGAGCATTATAATTTGGGATTTTCAATGGAGTCAGCTCTCAATCATCTTTACAGAGCCTGTCCATTCTATTAGATGTTTGATCGCTCCTGCCTTAGAGCATCTAATTTGGGGTATTAAAACTCTATTTTCCTTAAAGGGGATTCTGAACAGGAGATATCAGTTCAAGCCCTTAGAGAGGCTGGGGAGGTAGCTCGGGTCAGTAACGTGTTTACCAGAGAAGCACAAGGCTCTTAATTTGATCCCAGCACCCACATAATAAGCCAAGCTTTGTGGCACATGTTTGTAACTCCAGGGCTGGGGGTGGGGGGGTAGGGAGCAGACGGACAGGTGAATCCGTGGGACCCACCAGCCAGCCAGCTTAGCCTAAGTGATAAGTTCAAGGCCAGTGGAAGACCATGTCTCAAAAACTAAACTAGGGACCAGCGAGATGGCTCAGCAGGTAAGGGTTGCTTGTTGCCAGGCCTGATGACCTGAGTTCGCCCCCTGGAACACACATTGGAGGCAAAGAACTGACTTCCACAGGTGGTCCTCTGATATCCACACCTGTACTGTGGGTGTGCATGCTGGTGCACACCCAGAGACACAAGCGAAAAGAAAAAGCAATAAAATAAAAACAGAAACCATAGACATAAAAGAGATAGGACATCCAGGATTTTTTTCAATTTGGAGTCACTGCACTTTTTTCCCCCCTAATCAATGTATAAACTAGTGCATAAGTGAGCAGACAGCCATATGGTAAGCTACTGTGTACTGATTTAAGACAATAAGAAAGACTAGAATCACGTGAAACCTCACAGGATGCTCAACATGTGGAACAAATGTCCAAATGCTGGGTTTTGTCAAAAGACAAAATGTAAGCATGCTTGCTTGGCTTTGCTTACTTGTGTATGGGGTAGCCCTGGGAGAATGCTCAGGTTGGCTAAGGTTGGGATGTGCCATCAGCTCCCCTCCAGACTCCAGGAGTCAAAGCATCCTTGTTCCAGCTGCTGGAATCATAGTTGGTCAAAGGCCTTCAGCCGACAGCCCTTGGGGACAAGAGTCCCTCACCCGAGCTCACCACAGCTTCTCATGGTCATCAGGAGTGGGCGGTCTTGATGGTGTGAAGGCCAGCCCCAGGGCTGGACTGAAAAGACATCCCAAGTGCCCAAGCCCCTTCGTTTTTAAAAATTCCATTGTAGGGCTGGAGAAATGGCTCAGAGGTTAAGAGCACTGGCTGCTCTTCCAGAGGACCGGGGTTCAATTCCCAGCACCCACATGGCAGCTCACAACTCTCTGTAACTCCAGGTCTAGGGAATCTGACACCTTCACACCAATGCACATAAAATAAAGGTAAATAAATTATGTAAAACAATTCCATTGTATTTATTTATTGTGGGGGTTGCGCATGCTCATAGTACAGCGTGTGTTGGAGGTCAAACCACAACTTAAGTTGTCTGTTTTCATTTTCCACCATGTGGGTCCAGGGAGATTGCATTTAGGGAGATGACAGAGCAGGCTGGGGTACCTGCCTCCAAGCCTGATGACCTCATTCAAGCCTTTTCCGTTAACCTCTCCCTCTCCCTGCTTCATAGGTTCTGACCCAATGACACTCCTATTATGTCTCTTTCTTATTAACCCTCCACTTCCTGGGGAGTCTCAGAGATAAAAAGCTAGGAAGCTAAAATCACTGGTTTCTTATGATTGAAAAAAGAAGGGAGCCTGGTGAAGGAGGTCAAGGTTGGGAAAGACATTTCACGATCTGCCTTTTGATAATTAAAAGAAGTGTACCAGTGGTTGTATGATTTATATAAATTATAAATGCAATGTGAACTTAACAGGGCAGCCATATTTTGTAATCATCCATGTATATGTTTAGATAATCTTTTTTAATTTAGGAAAAGATATTTAATTTTTATTTATTTTGCTTTTAATTGTGTGTGTGTGTGTGTGTGTGTGTGTGTGTGTGTGTGTGTTTGTGTGAGTGCAGTGTCTGCAGAGTCCAGAAGATGGCAGTAGAGCTCTTTTTTTCTTTTTTGAGATAGGGTTTCTCTGTGTAGTGTTTTTTGTTTTGTTTTGTTTTGTTTTGTTTTGTTTTGTTTTGTTTTGTTTTGTTTTGTTTTGTTTTGTTTTCTGTGCCTGTCTTGGATCTCGCTTTGTAGACCAGGCAGGCCTCAAACTCACAGAGATCTGCCTAGCTCTGCCTGTGATGTGCTGGGAATAAAGGCGTGTGCCACCACCGCCCGAGCTCTTAAGCAGTAAAAGTTACCATTAGTTGTTTGCCACTCAATATGGGTTCTAGGAACCAAACTTGGGTCTTCTGCAGTTAACAGCCAGTGCTCTTAACTGCTGGGCCATCTTTCCATGCCAGGAAGAGGTATTTTATTCCCAAACCCTGTGCCCATCACATTCTGAATGTTCTTTTCTCTTTTCTTGTTGTTTTTTTAGTACCTGCAGAGAAACACCACGTTGATTTCATCTCACAATGGAGTTTCAGAAGTCACCTGACGGAGGGTGGGGCTGGGTGATTGTGACCGTCTCCTTCTTCACTCAGTTCCTCTGTTACGGATCCCCGTTAGCTGTTGGGGTCTTGTACATAGAATGGCTGGATGCCTTCGGTGAAGGAAAAGGAAAAACGGCCTGGGTGGGATCCCTGGCGAGCGGAGTTGGCTTACTCGCAAGTAAGTGGATATGTTTGTGTGTTTTCATACTCTCTCTAATCATTTAATGACGTTTGCTGTATCGTTAACATTGCCCGGGGCCTGGAAGGCTTTTAGACATTTGAAGTATAATGTGTATTTTCCTGCTCGGCATCGAGATATAGCGATGTTCCTTCACTGTAATGAGTCTGTGTGAAAGTACAGGAATTCCACATGCCTACCTACAATCCATCTCGTCATCCTTGTTAAAGTGACAGGCAGCCTGCTAGAGGATGGACATGAAAAGATGAGGGGCTAGAGAGATGGTTCTGAGGTTAAGAAGGCATGCTGTTTTTTTCAACAGACCACAGCATCACATCGGGCATCTTACAACCACTTGCTCCAGGGGACCAGACATCTCCTTCTGGCTTTTGTGGCACCCTCATACACATGTGAACAACACACACACACACACACACACACACACACACACACACACACACACACACACACGGCTCACCATCTAACAAGGAACACACATATTCCCATGGATATAATAATTCATAGGATGTGTGCGGTGTGCAGGCATGTTCACAGTATGCAGGTGATCTCCATGTCTTCCAAGCTCTGATGCATCTCATATTCAGCACTAGGTTCCATTCACATGTCCATCAATTACAGCAACCTCCTCAGAAAAGATCACACAGCAAGGGCAGTCTATCTCACGTGGTGATGTTCTTTAGGCTTTTCCCAGGGGTTATAGGGGAGAACTATTTTGGTAAACAGTAGTTTGTGGTGTAATAGTGATTTCTGTGCTTAAAGCAAACAGGAAAGGATTTTTTAAAATTATCTTTTGACCATGAATATCATATACCACTTGAGTGTCTGAAGTCACAGTTTGAAGTCTGCAGCAATTCTTAAGGGCTCTGTCTTTACCTTATCTGGCACTATTTCAACACCAAATGGGCTGAGACAGGCATAGATGGATGGGTACCCCGAAGCCTCTTCCTATGTGCTAAGACAGGAACAGGTGGGTGGGTACCTGAGAGGAGTCTTCCTGTGTGCTAAGACAGGCATTGGTGGGTTGGGTACCTGTGGAGTCTTGCTGTGTGCTGTGAACTTACCATGATTCTGGGAACAAAACCCAATCTCTAAACTGTGGAGAAGCTAGGAACACTGGGTGTGGTGACTCATAAGGTGTTTTTGAGTTTTAAAATGAATTTATGGAGGTCTGCTTAAAACAAGCCTGCATTAGTCATCCCCCCGCCTTTTTTTAAAAGATATGTTTGTCTCTTGGCTACTAAGGGGGTTGCTGTGGGAAAAAAAAAAAAAAAAAGCAATGGTATCCATTTGTTATATCCAAAACAAGATACATAGCCGTGGGGAAAACCTTGCAGGCTCCTCTGGCCTTCTCAGATAAGATAACTAAACATGACTAGACAGATGAAGAAAATCGTGATGTTCCAGAATCAAGAGAAACAGGAAATTTGCCCAGGATTTGTTTGAAAGGGTTTTTTAAAAAATAAGGATTGTAAGGCTGGAGATGGCTCACTGGTTAAGAGCACGGGCTGTGCTGAGAGAGGACCTGGGTTGGCTTCTGTATCAGGTGACTCACAACTGCCTGTAACATTAGTTCCAGGGGATCCAGTGTCCATGATCCCCATGGGCACCTGCGCATACATAGTGCACACGCACACACTCAGGCACACACACAAACATGTGCAACTGTAAAATTAACGAGAAGACTGCTTGTAAAATTGTCAAAGTGGCTAGTCACTGATACATTCATAGAGCGATTCGAACACGTGGCTTTCTAGAAAACACCCTGGTGCGGCGAGGAGATTTTTACAGTGTTTTCTTGTATTTCATCATTTCTATTAGCAAATTCTTAAACAGAACTGTAATTATTGGGGCTCCCAGAAAAGAGTCAAAGGAGAATCGCAATGATGCTCCCTTTAGCACGTGGTAGGAGAACCAGGCTCGGAGAGTTGATTCAGGAGGGAGAAGAGAATTAATGGAATTGGGGAAGCAGAACGCATGCTCTGGTGTAAAGGCTGAAGTTGATGGTGGCTGGGATATGGAACGTGGACACTGGTATAGAAGCTGAAGTTGGTTTCCCTTAAAAACTTACCTGTAGCTCCACAACATCTCTGTGTCCCTAGGTCAACATCTCCATGTCTCTAGGTCATCATCTCCATGTCTCTAGGTCAACATCTCCATGTCCCTAGGTCATCATCTCCATGTCTCTAGGTCAACATCTCCATGTCCCTAGGTCATCATCTCCATGTCTCTAGGTCAACATCTCCATGTCCCTAGGCCAACATCTCCATGTCTCTAGCTCATCATCTCCATGTCTCTAGCTCATCAT